ATCCAACCTCCAAACCAACAGCTAGGGTTAAGTCATTATATAATCTCGCTGTGGAAGTGTTGAGTATGTTAATAAAGAATTGAGTCTATAATCCTAAGGAGGTGCACTCACCCATAACACAAGATTTAACATTCTAGTTAGATCCTTGAGAGATAGGTGGAGTTAACTGCTGTTCAATGGTGTTTGGAAGCTTGAGAAAACAATGGCCTGCACTAAGTGAACTACAAGTGTCAGAACTCTTGCAGCAGATGGTAAGAAAGGGATCAAAAAATTCCTGGAACAGGGCATGCTAGAGTGAAAATACAACAAAAGGCTATGCTTCACTGATGGGCTCAGAGAACATTTGAAAACCATAAAGGTTGTGCTTAAGGAGAAGGTCACCAGTATTATGAGAAGCTCAAGAGTGGCTTTTTCACAGTCAGAGTTGCTTTATAATAGTATTTTTCCTGACTAAAGACAATAAGAAACCTTTTGTTAAAAAAGTAAATTTTAGAAAGTAAGTAATGTGGAAAAGCATAATATTAGGGAGGAGAAAAAACACTAAAATCTCATCACACTGAGAAAACATAATTAACATTTTAATGATCATTCTTTTATGCATTTCTTTATATATTTGTGTATACCCATGTATAGTTTTACATTAGTTGAATGTCATCTCTCCTATCAGAATTATAGAGACCTTTCTTTTTAAAACAACCTTATTTGCTCCTCCCTTCTGTCATCTACCCAGTCCATCAATTGCCATTCTCTACCATCCAAATCAATGTTAACAATGTGTTGTTTATTTATTTGTAACTTTTCTCCTGCTTTTTACACATACAATATTTCCTTGTTCTTTCTAATTTATTTATTTTACAAAAATGGAGTAATATTCACAGAGTTTTCCACTTGCTTCTTGCTTATCTCCCTTAGTACATGATGTAAATCATTCCCAAGTTAATTATTATAAATCTATCTCATCCTATATAATAAAAGAGAAACATGCAAATTAACCATCCCTTAGCGATGCTCAAGCCACACCAACAAGCCAATCAGGAGCAAGTATGCAAATTAACCCAACTAAGATGGCAGTGGCCATGGAGCTGGAGCAAGCAGGAGGCTTGGGTTGCCCCCAGCGATGGAGGAAGCCAAGCTTCCTGCCTACCCGGGCTAGTCCTGGGCTCCGCCCAAGGCTACAAAGTTTCGATTATAGAAGATAAATAAATCCCAGAAAGAAAAAAAAAAGGAGAGGCTGGGAGCTTGGGTTACCAGGGGGCATGGCCAACCTAAAAATGGCCATCAGCCCCTCACCCAGGCTGGCCAGGCACCCCAGTGGGGACCTCCACCCTGAAAGGGGTGTGGCCAGCCTGAAAACGGCCTTCAGCCCCTCACCCAGGCTGGCCAGGCACCCCAGCGGGGACCTCCACCCTGAAGGGGGTGTGGCCAGCCTGAAAACAGCCATCAGCCCCTCACCCAGGCTGGCCACACCCCCATGGAGTGAGGGTCCCTTCTGGGGGGCTTGGCCAGCCTGCAAAGAGCCATCAGCCCCTCACCCAGGCTAGCCAGGCACCCCAGTGGGGACCCCCACCCTGATCCGGGACACCCTTCAGGGCAAACCAGCCGGCCCCCACCCATGCACCAGGCCTCTATCCTATACAATAAAAGGGTAATACGCAAATTGACTCTAACAGCAGAACAACTGGGAATGACTGGTCACTATGACTCACACTGACCACCAAGGGGCAGACGCTCAATGCATTAGCTGCCCCCTGGTGGTCAGTGCACTCCCACAGGGAGTCAGCACAGTGGTGGTGGCAGGAGCCTCTCCCGCCTCTTCCGCAGCGCTACGGATGTCCGACTGCAGCTTAGGCCTGCTCCCCGCTGGCAAGTGGACCTCCCCCGAGGGCTCCCGGGCTGCCAGAGGGATGTCTGACGCCAGCTTCGGCCCGATCCCCCAGAGAGCGGGCCTAAGCCAGCAGGTGGACATCCTCCGAGGGGTCCCAGACTGTAAGAGGGTCCCAGACTGTCCCAGGCTGAGGGACCCCCCTGAATGCACAAATTTTTGTGCACTGGGCCTCTAGTTCTTTATAATGGCTATAAAATATCCTAGGATGTGGAGGTACTACCAATATTCTATTACTGATAAGCATTCATATGAATTCCATCTATTGTTATATATATATATATATATTATGCAAAGTCTCCCCTTGGGAGTTCGACCAGGAGACTGGTCCTGATTGGCTGGACCCCAGTAGCAAGCTAACCTACTGGTTGGAACATCTGCCCCTTGGTGGTCAGTGCACATCATAGGGACTGGTCGAACAGTTGAACACATGATTGGACACTCAGCATATTAGGCTTTTATTATATAGGACTAGAGACCCGTTGCAGGAAGATTCCTGCAAGAATAGGGCTTCCAGCGGCTGGAGCGAAGCAGAGAGGGGAGCGAAACCCGCTGAGGCGGGCTTCACTCCCAATCTGAGCCGCTGCGGCTGGGTTTCCCCTCCTGCTTCAAGCCACTCCTGCTGGGTTTCCCCTCCCACTCCCAGGTGCTCCTGCTGGGTTTCCCCTCCCACTCCCAGGCGCTGTGGCAGGTTTCCCCTCCCACTCCCAGGCACTGCCCTTTCCCCTCCAAGCCGCTGCCCCTCCGGCTCTCAGCCACTGTGGCTGGGCTTGCCCTCCCACCTCCTGCCTCCCACCTCCACAGCCTTGGCTCCATTTCTGTCCTCGAGGCCTCTACTTAGCTCCCTTCTGTGCCGCTTGGCCTCCATGTTGTCCTCAGTCTTCCCTAGCAACTGGTATATGCAAATTAACTGCCATCTTTTAGCTTCTATAATTGAAACATTGTAGCTTTTGGAACTGTTGCTTCAGGAGCTCAGAGCCTGGCGGCGGCAGGCAAGGAACCTTGGCTTCCTCCGTCACTGGAGCAAGCAAGCCTCATGTTTGCTTAAGCTGCCTGGCTGCCAGCCGCCATCTTGGCTGGCAGTAAATTTGCATATCTCGATGATTAGCCAATGGGAAGGGTAGCAAAATTATGGCTAATTACCATGCTTCTCTATTATTATATAGGATAATGAGTTCACCCTGAAACAGTTTCACTTGCCAGAACACAGATTTATTTCTCACTCATATCACCAGTTGTTGAAGGTCATGAGGGCTCTCCCTAGTGCTCTCCTGCAACTTGGAGATCTGAGCTGCTTCCATTTTGCAACTCCACATCTTCGGGTTCTTTGCTTCTAGCCACAGGGTGAGAGAAAACATAAGCATTAAAAACTACCACCTGCTACTCCCACACACATTCCCATTATCAAGAACTCAGGCACATGGTCTCAATGCAACCACAGGAGAGGCTGGGAAATGCAGTTTTTCTGTGTGCCCAGGAAGAGGAAATGGTGTGATGAACCAACATTATCTCTGTAAAAAAAAAGAAAAATGCATGAAAACTTATATAAGGCAGAATTGGCATAGCTGAACCCTGAGGAAAGTATTAGCGATTAATAAATTACACTACTAGTAAGAATAAAAAAAGAACTCAATTTCTTCTTTACATTGCACTCAATCAAATAACTTTCAAATGGATTAAAAGCTTAAATGAGAAAGACAAAAGAAGAATATGACCCAGGGATCGGAAAAGAGTTATTATCATACAGACAAAAAAACAAAAACAAAAATACCCATCAAACCCATAAGGAAATGATGGATAAAAATACATCATAAAGAGAGAAAAGACAAACTGGTAGAAGATATTTTCAATACATACAACTGAAAAAAGATTAATATTTAGACTATCATACTAGCCTATTGCCACAAAGAATAATCTACTGGAAATAATTATACTTCATTGGTAAGTCACAAGATTCCATTTCACAACCATTAGACTAAAAAAGGAAGTCATACAGCATCAATGTTAGCAAGGAGGAGGAGTTATGGGAAATCCTTTCCACTACTTGTGAGAATACAAATGGAAACAAAAAGTTTGAGGAATAATTTGACACTATCTCACAAAATTAAAATTGTGCATACCCTGAAGAAATATCAATTCCACTTGTAGACAAATTCTTATAAGTATGAATGAATTATGATTAGGTACTTCAACACAAATAGTAATCTTGAAAATACAATGTTGAGTGAAAAAACAAGATACAGAAGAAGACATTGTGTACCATTTTATATAGTTAAATCAAGCAAATGTAAGGATATTTTGAGAATCCACACATACAAAAATCCATACATGTGTTTAAGAATCCATCCAATAAAGAAAAGCAAGAGAATAAGCAAAGTGAAAATTTAGGGTAGTGGATAACGTTGGGGATGTGGCTGGGGAGCAGGGGTGGGGAACTTCAAGGACACCAATAAAGTTAGATTTCTTAAGTGGGGTAATGGCTTCACACGCATTAATTTTATTATGTAACTAGAGGCCCAGTGCACAAAATTTGTACATGGGTAGGGTCCCCTAGGCCTACCTGTTGATCAGGGCTGATCAGGTTCCCCGCCTCCTGGCCTCCCCGCCTCCTCCTTCCCTCGCTCCCTCAGTGTACCACCGTCATCGCTGTTCACCTGCCATGTTCCACGCTGCCCCCTGGTGGTCAGCACACATCATAGCGAGCAATAGAACTCCCAGTCTCCTGGTCAAACTCCCAAGGGGACAATTTGCATATTAGCCTTTTATTATATAGGATAAGCTAGTGTTGGCATAAATATTCCCTATGCACCAAATATTTAATTTTTAAAATCAACTCTCTCTCTCTCACACACACACACACACACAAGGAAAAGAGAAAGCACTCTGCAAACTGACTCCCATTTAAGAGAGCTGTTGATATTGCAATTGTGTAGGAGCAGAAAGAATGAGCAAATATATGTTCTCTTTTTAACACCACATAGTCTGTAGCAAGATCCTCTTTTCTTCTAACATTTAAAGTTTGTTTCCTTTTTGTAATTATCTCAAAGCCCCTAACAGTATAATTTATTTCATTTTTGCTTTTTATTTAACATCAAAATTCTGTTTTATTTTTCCCCAGTGGCCAGGTTTTATCTGCTCTTCCTAGAAGCTCTAGGGAAGTTCAAATTCTGCAGAGTCTTACTACAACATATGAGGTAATTTTTCCCTTATTTATTTGTAAACTAGAGGCCCGGTGCACGAATTCATGCATGGGTGGGGTCCCTCGGCCTGGCTGGTGATTGAGGCCTATGGGGGCAGGGGGGACCAGCTGACCAGGGAGAGGGGCTGTGGGAGGTTGACCGGCCGGCTGGGGGGAGGGGCCGTGGGAGGTTGGCTGTGGGAGCACACTGACCACCAGGGGGCAACTCCTGCATTGAGCATCTGCCCCTTGGTGATCAGTGCATGTCATAGCGACTGATCGACCGGTCTTTCTGGTCGTTCTGGTTGCTCGGTTGCTTAGGCTTTTATATATAGACTAGAGGCCCAATGCACAAAATTAATGCATGGGTAGGGTCCCTAGGCCTGGCCAGCGATCAGGGCCAACCTGTGGGGCAACCAGTGGGGTAATCGGGGGGGACCGCTGGCACCCACCTTGGCTAGCCTGGTGCCACCCACTTGCCATTCCTGCCCCCTGCCACCACTATCAGTCGCCTCCCTCCGCAGGGCGACCCGCAGGGCGATTGGGAGGCCCTTGCTGGCACCTACCTTGGCTGACCTGGGGTTTACAGGTTGGGGGCAGCTCCTGCTTTGAGCATCTGCCCCCTGGTGGTCAGTTGGCATGATAGCGACAGGTTGTTCCACTGGTTGTTCTGCCATTCGATCGACTTGCATATTAGGCTTTTATTATATAGGATTATTTCATTTTGTGGAAGTATTGTGTGCCATGTTCTCTCCTATATGTTGTCTAACTTGCATATCACTGGTATAAACCCCTCTTCTTATACCCTTTTTCCCCTTCCCATAATCACATGATTTTGCTGGTTCCCAAAATCAAACCTTCTTCATTTGTACTATTGGCTTTTTAGCTAGCCACATAATAGTACCTTGGGATTTAAAGTGTGTATTTGTAAAGATACTATGATAAAAGAAGTCCAATAGGACTTCACTTATAAAACAATAGTTTTTAACCAAGACGCAAACATCAAAAAGACAAGGGAAAATTTACTAACATTTTCATGCCTGGGACCCATATCCCCAGAATGCCTGATAAGAGTTACAAAATATCATGGTAAAAAATTGATGGCTCCATGTTTGTCAGACCAGATTAAAGTTTCAAGAGAAATGCATGTGAAGCATGAAGAAGGAGGACCTGGGGTGACTTGGAGCACCCTTAGATCATAATGCAGCTCTGACCTCTGTGTAGAAAGGAAGATTGTGCATGAAGAGTCTCTAGACTGAAGGGCAGTTCCAATGTAGGTCTGGGGGGACCAGTGATGAGTCCTTAAGCCAAAGCCACATGTAAGAAGAAACTCCTATCTAGCAAGAATAGACCTGCAATTTTTTGGGGGGATCTGCATGAATATAATCATAATGCTCGATCACTGGCTGTCTGCAGCTCCGGAGAGCATGGCCTCAGTCTCTGGTGGATCAAGAGCAGGAACAGCTGGTGAGGTCAGTCAACTATGTTTCTCCCAACAGAAGAGTTGAGCAGTGAATTTTCACAGCCAACACACTGTGGACAGAGAAATACCACCAAAGGAAGCATCAGAGATTTAGAATTTAGCTCTTGGTCTGCCACTCCTAAGTGTGTGATTTTAGACAAGTTTAGCTATGAGCCTTAATTTCTTCACCTGAATAGTGAAAAGAATGACACTTGCTGGGTTTATACCAAACTATGACTATAACGAGCACAGGAAATGAGTGTGAAAAAGTGCAGTGAAATAGGGAAAAAAAATGTGAATAATTTTGGAAGATATTGATCAAAGCCCATAATTAGATTAAAGAATAGGAGCACAGACATGATGATAACATCAAGAATATGGATTTTTTTATGAAAGAAAATCACCATTTAATCAACTTTCTATACAAAATTTTATTTCTCTTCTGAGTATCTGACATACACATACAGTTTTATACAGTTGGGCCTTAAGTATATTCATTCACTCCTTCGTTCATTATTTAATCAAATATTTATTGAGTACCTACCATGTTCCAGGCCCTCTTTAGCAACTGAAATTACAGAGAAAAATAAAACAAGCTCCACACAAAATAAAAGTTTAGAATGCCATGTGTATAAATGAGGACCAGTGGCCAGGAAGTATATTTTCACTAGAGGCCTGATGCATAAAATTTATGCATGGGTAGGGTCCCTAGGCCTGGCCAGTGATCAGGGCCAATCTGTGGGGCAGCTGGCGGGTCGATCAGGGGGCCCCCAATGGCATCCACCTTGGCCAACCTGGCACCGCCTACTCGCTAGCCCTGCCCCCCTGCCTCCGTTACAGGTTGTCTCCCTCTGCAGGAGGTGACCGGTGGGGCGACTGGGGGCAGCCCTACCCCCCCCCCACCACCAGCCCACTTGCTGGCAAGCCCCACCCTGCTCCGCCAGCCTGCTGGCTCCCTCATTGGCTGGCCTGAGGCCTGCAGACTGGGGGCAGCTCCTGCATTGAGCGTCTGCCCCCTGATGGTCAGTGCGCATCATAGCAACTGGTTGTTCCACAGGTCGCTCTGCTGTTCGGTCGATTTGCATATATTATATAGGCTTTTATTATATAGGATTCTCCTTATAGATACACTTTTATGACATTAGCTACAGATAAGAATAATATAAATAACCATTTTTTGTTTTATCAATTTTTCCATTTAAAACTGCCGATTGTTCTGTGGCAGCCAGTAACAGCTGACTTTATTGTAAAAGCAAAAGAAGTCCATTTTTTTGTGAATGCAGTTGATATAATCAATGTGAAATCCCATTTACATGAGAACAGAATTCCATTCAGGTAAGCATCATTCAATATTCATTGAATAATTATTATAAGCACCCACGAGGCATTTAACTAGCAGACGGTACAATTGCTTCTTGGAAAAAGAAATACTTATGTTAAATCTCCAAAACAGACTGGTGATAAAGCCCAAGTAGCTGGCTCTGTGACCTTGAACAAGTGGTTTAACCTCTCATGACCTCAAAAGGATTGTTAGACTCAATGATCTGTGCAGTTTCTTATAGGTCTTTCTAATTCCTTCCTTCTTATAGTTCCTCTACTGCTGTGGTCAGCAAACCGTGGCTCGCGAGCCACATGTGGCTCTTTGGCTCCTTGAGTGTGGCTCTTCCACAAAATACCACCTGTGGGCACGCACGTACAGTGTGATTGAAACTTCGTGGCCCATGCGCAGAAGCCGGTATTTTGTGGAAGAGCCGGTATTTTGTGGAAGAGCCACACTCAAGGGGCCAAAGAGCCGCATGTGGCTCGCGAGCCGCAATTTGCTGAGCTGCAGTTTGCCGACCACTGCTCTACTGTATACCCAGACTTGGGGAACAAAATTGTCATTCACTTGAGTAGACTTTATGGTACCTCTCAAAAAAGCAGCTGGTAAAGAGGATTTTGCTTCCTTCACTAGGTCATTGAACATCCCTGAATGTCTGCCTCAAGACTAAAGTGCAGCAAATGCAGTTTCTGCTCAGAGTTCATGCCCTCTTCCTTTTGAAGTCTCCTATCCAACATCTGCTCTCTGTGTCCATTGTTCAAATGTTCATGTCCTCCTGTTGCCCTAGACCAGTGATGGCAAACCTATGACACGCTTGTCAGAGATGACACGTGAACTCATTTTTTTGGTTGATTTTTCTTTGTTAAATAGCATTTAAATATATAAAATAAATATCAAAAATATAAATCTTTGTTTTACTATGGTTGCAAATATCAAAAATTTCTATATGTGACATGGCACCAGAGTTAAGCTAGAGTTTTTCAAAATGCTGACATGCCAAGCTCAAAAGGTTCACCAAACTGCAGCTCGTGAGCTACATGTGGCTCTTTGGCCCCTTGAGTGTGGCTCTTCCACAAAATACTGACTTCTGTGCATGGGCCACGAAGTTTCAATCGCACTATATGTGCGTGCCTGCATGTGGCATTTTGTGGAAGAGCCACACTCAAGGAGCCAAAGAGCCGCATGTGGCTCACGAGCCACTGTTTGCCAACCACTAGAACATGGCAGAGCTAGGAGTTGAACCCAGACCTATCTAATGTCAAAACCTTGATTTTTATCAATTGGCCTCAATAAAAGTAAAGAAATATTATTAAAATGATAGCTAACTTTCAACTTGTTCATCTCAGATAATTAAATGGCTTGATTCAATGTTTGCCTCATTAACAGTGTGGCACTTCTCAAGAGACATTAAATAAGATGACTTTCCCATGCCTACCCTATTCCTGTGCTTCTACTTCTCTAGAGATTTTATCATCTTTGGCTCTTCAGAACATCTGGTATAGTTCAACGATTATCACAATGAAAAAGAAAAAGAAAAAGCTTTCTTCTTCTCCTTGGTTTTTAACTGAAAATAGAATAATACAATATTACTCTGGGTTAAAGAAAGCTGTCCACTAACCTATATGCTCACATAAAAGACACTGATGAAGCACAGTTGAGAAATGTTGATAATAGTAGGGAAAGGGTGACATTTTGGAGGCCTTGAAAACAGACCACATAGAAGTCACTTTCTCCAGTGTCCATATGGGCTCTACCAAGAAGGTTTGTGAATTTCAGCTCACCATAATGGTAAGTGATATAGTTTTCACCTTGATGAACTTTAGCTTGTTAGGTTTCTTAGTGATTTTTTCCCCATGCTCACCTGTTGTGGCTACAATGGGCCATGTGGGAAAATCAGAGCCCTTTTCGAAAACCAGCTCACCCTCTGTTTTATCATCTAGTATCTTGATGGAAGATGTGGAAGATCTTATCCGCCAGCAGACTTCCAATGATACCATCAGCCCCTGCCAGCAGACTTCCAATGATACCATCAGCCCCCGGGCCTCCTCCTCATACTATGAAAATTATCACCCACTAAATGAAGTAAGCCATCATATTTCTCACCAAAATTACTATTTTCATACCAGCATTTGCACTTCAATTATGGAAAATTACTAAAATATCATAATTAATGGAAAAGGGTAAAAAATATTACAATTAAGTTGATCATATGGTGGTAACTCATCCTTTTGTAGATATTTTCACTGGGAAAATTGCATCATATTTGGTAAACTGCCTCTAAGCAGGATTTTGTCCATAACTAAGAGTATCTCTACCTGCTAGGAGTAGTACTGCATGCTAAGGAACTGCAGGGAATAATAAATAGGGACATTTTATTGAAACTGCCACACAAAAATTTAACAGTCCACTGTGTTAGTCTTCCATAACAAAGTGCCACAGATTGGGTAGCTTAGACCGCAGAACGTTATTCTCTCACAGTTCTGGAGGCTAGAAGTCAACAATGAAGGTATCAGTAGGGTGAGCTTCTCCTGATGATCTCTCCTTGACTTGCAGATTGCTGCCTTCTCGCTATGTCCTTACCTGCCCTTTTCTCTGTATTACACATCCCTGGTGCCTCTATATGTCTCAATCTTTACTTCTTATAAGGACATCAGTTGAAAGGGATTAGGACCCACACTAACAGCCTCATTTTAACTTAATTACCTCTTTAAAGGCCCTATCTCCAAATATAGTCACATTCTAAGATACTAGACGTTATGGGCTTCAACATATGAATTTGGGAGGTACACAATTTAATAATGACATTCCAGAAAATGCCTTGGAACTCTCCTCCCTTCCACTCCTCCTTTCTAGGAGGTTCATAGGAACCATAGTAATCTTGCTCTTAGAAAATTCCCTCAAATCCTCCTTCCCCTTCAGAACTGATCTCTTTTTCAGTCCTCACCACAGGTGGGCAGGAGGTATTCTTTTGTCATTGACTCTCACTTAGAAAACTTAAGTAATCCACTGTGGGGAGAAAAACAAATACCAATAAAAATACTTTTTAAAACAAATAGCAAAAGAAGATAGTTATTCAAAGGATATTATCTTCATTACCTCAATTAGATTGTGAAATAAAGAGTCTTCTATAAAACTACCTTCATATAATACAGTCTCCCCTGTTGAAGGAATTCTACTGAACCATCACTGGAACACAAAATAGTTGTATGTAGTTGTTCTTTCAGATGTAGTCATTCCTTAGAAGAATAGCACAGTAAACAGAGGCCCACTGAGGAAATCCCTGACAGCTAAATCTCCAGCCCCTTGGACATTGACAGCACTGGTGTTTGGCAGCAGGTAGGCTTCCCAGGAGCATCTTTGGACACTAGCCTAAAGTCAGGCCTGGAATTCTTTATTTGTCCTTCCACTATAATCTTGATGGAACCACAAGTACCACTGGACTGTCAACTAGGAGACAGGCCCAGAATCAAATGCCTTCTCAGGGTAGAAGAGAATTGTTTTCCCCTCCAGGTTGTATACCTTTGCCTCTTATCATCTCACAGATCTTCTTGTGAATTCACAGGTTTCTAGTGGGAAATAAGTGCCCTATCATTTATCCTGTGCAAAGACAGTGCCCAGGCCTTCCTTAGGTTACTCTTAAAAAGTGAAATTTTTTTTAAAAAAATTCAAATAAAAGTGAACTTGTGAATGAACGGTAAAGAGGATTTCATACACAGAGGCAGGGATTTGATGTGATGAGCCTTTAAAAATAACTCTTAGGAGACATACTTTAAAGATGAACTTTTCCTACTTTGTCATATGGTTTTCAGTACTTTTCTGCTCTTTCTCTAAACCTTGATAATTTTCAAAACTTTACTTTTATTGATTTTTCCTAAACAACAGAAGAAACACCTGCCCCAAGTATTTTAGTTCCTCATTCTTTCTACCTACACAGGTTTTAGAGAGTTCTCCTTCCCTTGAAGATGCTGTCTGCTTCCTTTGGTCAGGGAAATGCTTCAAACTTACTCTATGACTGACTGCTTATGTCCATTTTGATAGATCTATTCTTGGATGGATGTTATAACTGAGCAGTATCCTGATATGATTGAAAAAATCCACATTGGATCCTCATATGAGAAGCGTCCGCTTTATGTTTTAAAGGTATGTCATGGGGGAAAGTAATTGATCTGTCGACTCCAGGGGATGTGTTAATTCTCCAGTGGCACTTGTTATAATTTGGATTTTTTTCTTTGAGTTCTGTAAATATTTGTATTACAACTGTTCCTCCACTTTAATACTCAGCTACTTAGGGTTAATTTTTTTTTTTTTTCGCTTTACTAATGCAGTGTTGGTCTATGAGTAGAAATCCCAATTTTAGAATTAAGTCTGTCTCTTTTATGTGACAGATAAATTCCCTGAACTTCAAGACCTACTGTCATAAAATAAAGGGCAAGGGATGTGGTCTGGATTATTTTTCATGTCCTTGTTTTATTTATACCACCACCACCTCTGACTGCCTTATGTAGGAAGAAGAAAAGAGAGAGATGATCTGTTATTGGACAAACACTGACACTGACACAGTTTTTGGAACAAAACAAAACAAACAAAAGCTGAACAACCAAACCCAGGGAAGGATAAGAACCAGGGGAATGCTGAGGTCCTGATAATAGGGTTGATATGATAGCTTCTGTTCTAATCACAGTTCATTTGGTTATTCATTTTCAGTTGAATAAATTGGCCTTAGTAAAGGTGAGTAAATGTGGCCAAAGAAGAATTTGAGGGAGACATAAAAACATACTAATTCTTTCTTGATAATTTATAATGATGTACTTCTGTTTTGTACCACTTTCCCCACCCTAAATATATCCTATATAATAAAAGGGTAATATGCAAATTGATCCTAACAGCAGAGTGACTGGGAATGACTGGTCACTATGACACACACTGACCACCAGGGGGCAGACGCTCAATGCAGGAGCTGCCCCCTGGTGGTCAGTGTGCTCCCACAGGGGAAGCTATGCTTAGCCACAAGCCAGGCTGATGACCGCCAGTACAGCGGTGGTGGTGGGAGCCTCTCCCGCTTCCTCATCAGCGCTAAGGATGTCCGACTGCAGCTAGGCCTGCTGCCCGCTGGCAAGTGGATATCCCCCAAGGGCTCCCAGGCTGCCAGAGGAATGTCTGACTGCCAGCTTAGGCCCAATTCCCTGGGGAGCAGGCCTAATCCAGCAGGTGGTCATCCCCCGAGGGATCCCAGACTGTGAGAGAGCACAGGCCGGGCTGAGGGACCCTCCTGAGTGCACAAATTTTTGTGCACTGGGCCTCTAATATATATATATATATATATATATATATATATATATATATATATATATATTTAAAAAGAAGCTCTGGAAAAAATAATCATTGGAAAATATTTTCTTTACTAATATTTAATTTACATTTAGTTTCCCAACATTATCTAAATTGTGATAGGTGTGCCTTTTTGGTCATTCAAAGATAAGATTTTGAGTCAGAATTTCTAAGTTTTAATCTGTTCTGAAGAAACTTGCAGTGCAGTCTCAAGACAGACATATGAAACATTGGGTCTTCTTGGTGACTGAATTGCTCAGATTGGATCCTTGTAATCATGGCATCCCATCCATGGCATTTGCTTTCAGCATGTTGTGTGTACTCACTGGAACTTGTGTTTCTGGTACTTAGATGTACATGTGGGGAAGCCATGCTTCTTGCATGCTTTAGTCTCCTCTTACTTGGCCAAGGATGCCCGCATAAGGACATAATGTAGGTCTCTAGGGTTCCTCCTGCTTGCCAGTGTCAGGACCAGCACCAGCACCAGCAGAGCTTGCTTAGCACGGACAGAAGACAACTAATTCAGACAACTCAGGGTTTTCTATTAAATTGAATAGATTAAGTCAGCCAAGCAGTTCTCTTCTTTGAGTAATTTAACCTTTCACGGTCAGTGCACACGACTCTCTCACTTGCTTTCTCATTGAATATCACTATCTCCAAGTTAGTTAAGAAAATCTTCCTTGGGTAGTGCAGATGGCAATCTAAAAATCTAACTCTCTCTTTTCTTATTTTGGAATTTCAACCCCACATATTTGTTTGATTTTACAACACTCTTCTCCCTTCCCTCCATACTCTAAAGTTGGGTTGTAACTATTTTTTAAAAGCAAATGAAATATAATTCATTTTGTTTGGAGGTGAATTTGAGAATTCTGCTGAAGACCTTAAAGGCTATCACTGAGAAAAGAAAGGTTGGAAAATATCTCCTTTTCCAGAGATTTGACATCATGCACTAGCCCCCCACCCCCCAATACTGTGAATCAGAACAAGCCTACTGTCCCCAGATATATTGGTGATAAGTTTGTGTGAAGTTAGATGTGTGATTCTTTTTGTATAAAATGGAGAAATAGCCTACTGGCTCCCCTTTCTCAAGCCTTTCTCTGTTCCACACCTCCCATAGAAAGTTGCCTACCCAACACATACCATTTACCTCTAACGATGTGTGAAGAAAGTGCCTGAAGCACTAATTCTCTGGTCTCTACTTCTACATTTCCACTAGTTATAACTACTGAAATGTTTGGGGAATAAAAGAGCTTTAAGTCAAAAGTCCTGGCTTCAATTCTTAATTCTGACTCTTACCAGGTATGTGATCTTAATAATTTTATCTCTTCACTTGTAATCTCACCAGCTTTTAATTTTTCTTCAGAATTCTCAAAGTAATTCAGAGACTAATGCATATGTCATATATTTGTTAAAAGAGTCTATAATAATAAAAGCATAATATTCTAATTAAACCAGACATCCTTCCAGAAGACCTTCCAGAGGAAGCCAGGGCTACGAGGGAAGCCCGGGTCCAGGTGCCAGAGGGAAACAGGTGCTGGCAGAGGGGGGAAGAAAGGCCTACTCTTGCACAAATTTCGTGCATTGGGCCTCTAGTTAAAATACAAGCCCTAAATAAATGGAAGTTATCCTGAGGCTCCTTGCTATTATTTTTATTTTCTTTGGGCAGGTTTCTGAAAAACAACAAGCAGCCAAAAATGCTGTTTGGATTGACTGTGGACTCCATGCCAGAGAATGGATCTCCCCTGCTTTCTGCTTGTGGTTCATAGACCATGTAAGTACAGTATTCACATTCTCTTAGACCAGAGTTTCTAAATACGTGGCCTAAGACCATCTGTGTCAAAATCAGCTGGATTGTTTACAAAATGCATTTTCCCAAGTCACAGCCTAGAATTCATGACTTAAAATCTCTGGAGGTGAGGCATAGAAATCTACAATTTTCACAAGCTTCCCAGATGACTTATATGCATATTATGCTTTAGAGTCATAACTTCAAGCATTAAAATCATTCTAAAGATTGTCAGCCTTTTCTTTCTTACATTTTAAGCTAGGGCTAAACACTAGAATATAATTAAGAAGTAGCATGCAATTGTAATATTTTTACAAGTAGAAGAAAGAACTAAAGCAATTACATAAATTAAGTTTCATTTAATTTCTCATTCTTTTGATTTGAATTATCCAGACATTTTTTGCCATATTCTTCCCTTGCAAAATTAATATAAAGTACATTATAGGGCAGATCATATTTTTTCATATATCATAATAGAGGATTTTTGTCCCTGAAAAAGGCCTTGGCATAAAAAAAATCCATATATAATACAAAGAGTATGTCATAAAAGTAAAAATTATCCTATCTAATAAAAGAGAAACATACAAATTGACCATAACCTCAACACCCTTCCCATTGGCTAATCAGCAGGATATATGCAAATTAACTGCCAACCAAGATGGCGGCTGGCAGCCAGGCAGCTGAAGTGAATAGGAGGCTTGCTTGCTCCAGTGACGGAGGAAGCCAAGGTTCCCCGCCTGCCGCTGCCAGCCTCTGAGCTGCAACTCTAAGAAACAATGTTGCAATTATAGAAGCTAAACATTCCCCAGAAACCTGCTTTTGGCCAGCTGGGCTTCAGCCAGCAGGATTGCAACAGTATTACAATTATAGAACCCAAACAAACCCAGATCCCTGCTTTCAACAGCTGAGGTCTCAGAGCTGGAGTCGAGCCTCAGAGCTGAAGCTGGCTCTCAGCTCCAGTGGCAACCATAGCAGGTAAATAAATCCCAGAATGAAAAAAAAAAAAGAAAAAAAGGAGAGGTTGGGAGCCTCAGTTGCCCGCCAACCTGAAAACAGCCATCACCCCCTCACCCAGACTGGCCAGGCACCCCAGTGGGGACCCCCACCCTGAAGCAACAAGACGGCGGCTAATTTGCCTACTGAAGGCAGGCGGCAGCGGGCAAGGCTGTCCGTGGTCCGGGACCGGATCTGTGACCCTGCCGGGCGGGGGGCAGTGCTTGAGGATGTCCACGGTCTGGGACCCGGCTCCGTGACCCTGCCGGGTGGGGGGGTGGTGCTTGAGGCTGTTCACAGGACCAAGACATGGATCTGTGAGCCTGCCAGGCGGGGGGCAGCACTTGAGACTGTCCGCGGTCCCGGGACCTGGATCCGTGACCCTTCCCGGCGGGGCGGCAGCTCGCATAGGGGCAGATCAGCCGGGGTTGGGCAGGGCAGGAAGCCTGGCTTCCGCCCAGCCCCAGTCACTCTGGGCAGGTGAGCAGCGCAGAGAGCCTCTGGACAGGGGAAGCAAGCCGCTGGAGGGCAACCTATACTCCCCACATGGTGATGGTGACAGCTGTGAGCGCGCCAAGCAGAGCCTGCAGGCTGAGCTGAAGTAGCGCCTGCAGGCCATCAGCACCCAGGAGTGGCTGCGCAAGATCCGCCTCCTGGCCCAGAAGGTGCAGGATCGCAGGGACAGCCACCATGGCGGGCCAGACTGACGTCCTCCTGGCCGCACCACGGGGGTTTGCAGATCTGCAAAGCCAGAGGCCTCCGGTGTGCACATCCCCCCCTGGCATGCGAACATCCCCCAGTACATTGTCACCCTCCCGCGCCTGCAACAGCTGCAAACCAAGGCGTGCACAAGTTCCCCCCGCCTCTCCACCGCACTCCCATCAACCTGGCATGCCTAACACCCCCACAGGATGTGCACACATCCTCTCTGATGTGCTCACGTCCTTTGGAGAGTGTCTGGGTGTTCTGGGTGCTGAGGGTAGGTGCCTGTGAGATGACAGTGAGAGGGCGGAGTGGTGATGCCCTGTTCCCACAGAGGCCAGTGCAGCTACAAGATCACCTCTGGGGGGTTAATGCAGGTGCTGAGGCAGGAGCAGGTGCAGACAGACACACCTGGTGGGCGCGGGCGGCTCTCGCTGAGGTGCCTTCGGTCAGTGTTCAAGAGCAAGAACCCAGAGGCAGAGAGGAATTCTGTCCTCTCAGTGAAACAGTGGGATAGTCGGGGCGACTGTAGAGAAGGAATGTGCACTTTGGGTGCCATCACCCATGAGTGAAGGCTGCCCTGACTGAGCCTCGCTTGCTTGGGGCCTAGCGCACTCCTGCCAGGCAGCGGGTGACAGGACGTGCTTTTCCGAATTAATGAGAGAAAACGTTGATTCTCCTGCCCACGAAGGTGGAAAGTGAAGTGGGGAGACATGTGGGGAGTGAGCGAGGTTCCCTGTCTTGGGGTTCCAAATCTGCTGTTGGTTTCTTTCACCACTGACTAGAGATATGCAGGGTGTCCCCCCAAAATGTATACACACTTTGAATACCTACTAATTCCAGTGGTTTTAAGCATAAGAAAGAAACAACAATGGAGCTGTTATCTGTTAAAAGTGTGGGCACAAACAGGTAGTTGGACATTCCCTGAGGGGTCTCAGATTGGAGAGGGTGAAGGCCAGACTGAGAGGCCCCACCCCCACCCCAGTGCACAAATTTCGTGCACCGGGCTACTAGTAATGACTATAAACCTGAAACTATATTTGCATATACACAGTAACACAAACCAAATGAGTTAGGAAATTAAGAGATTACCACTTAGATTGATGTCTTAACAAATAAAGTTCATCAAAAGTAAAATTATTTCTACCTCTTCTGACCTCTTGTCAAGTACATCTCTAACTATCTTCATTTGACTTATCCTTTCTTCCCCATGGACGGGAGCTGTAGCATTCCTGGACCTACTGAAAAGTTCCCAACCACCGCTGGTACTACCTTGACCAAATGAAGATAGTTCCCAACTGAGCAGACCCTAACACAGCCCAGTCATTTGATGATCTGGAATCTTCTCCACATTGGGTAGTTCTATTTGTTTCAGGTAATGAATGAAGTAGCAGTTGGTAGGGAGAGAAAGGTGCCAAGGAAGAGAGAGTACATTTATTTTTTATTTTATAACTGAATCTGGATTGGGCCAGAAAGAAATTTCAACTCATATTGACTCCAATTTATATTGGTGAACTTGTCCTTAATTGCTGTCTGTCCCAAATTTACAAATCTTTCCTCCCACTTGCGGAATCCTTATAAGGTTAAATTATTTATTTCACATTTATAAATTGCCTATGCAGTTCCAGACCATGGAGAAACAATGGAAAACAAGATACATTTCAAGAAACTTACAATCAAGTATTTTGCCCCAACAATGTCAGCCTGATTTTTGTAGCCTAAGTCAACAGAGCTCTTTTTAATGGACATTTAAGCCCCATCTTTGCCTGCTCCGTCTGACTTCCATAATGATTCAAACAACTGTATGAGGAAAATAAAATATTTAGCTTAAAAAAAATTGTGGGTGTGGATTTTATATTTAAAAAGTAAAGCAACCTAGCCCTCGCTGGTGCTGCTCAGTGGTTAGAATGTTGGCCCACTGTAGGGTTGTGGGTTCTATTCCCAGTCAAGAGCACGTACTCTGGTTGCAGCTTCCCATCCCTGCACAAATGCAGAAGACAAACAATTGATCTCTCTCTCTCTCTCTCTCTCTCTCTATCTCTCTCTCCTCCCTTCCACTCTCTCTTTCTAAAAAATAATCAATGGAAACAATATCCTCAGGTGGGGATTAACAACAGCAACAACAAAAAAAGGTAAAGCACCCAAAGGTGAATTGGCTTAGCTTTAAATTCTGTGTAAAGAAATCCGACATTACTCCTGAGTTTTTCTTTTAGTCTCACATTAACACCACACTCACAACACTCTGATACCAAATGTATGAGGATTTTCCCTACACCAAGCAATTCTGTGACACCAGCTATGTGTCCTACAATTTAACTCAATTCTGACACTATTCACCTGGAGATAGCATTAGATCCCACAAGACTCCTTTTCCCCTACCTCACTTCAGGTGCTAATCTAGCTGATCCATTCAGCCCTCTTCTCTACTTACAGGCATTGAGAAGTCCCCTTATTGTACAGTTTCCCTCTATCCTTCTATTTTCGAAGGCTATATTTCAGCTCTCACTCAATCCTTCTGTTTGGAGCCCTGCTTATTAAACAAGAAATTTCCGGGCTAACATTGATCATAAGCCTAGCTTATGGCTAAAGTTCCCATCTAACCATTGAAAAAGGTAAGAAGGAAATAAAGAGAGTGAAGCAAGAAAAATCTCTAATAAACTATCTAACTCTATTTCTAAAAGAAGTAGGAAGAGAATAAGAACAGACCAGAATAAGGAGAAGGAAGGAAAAAATAAAGATCAGAGTGGAACTAAATGACATAGAGACTAAAAAAAAAAAAAGAAATACAAAAGATCAATGAAACTAAGAGCTGATTCTTTGAAAATATAAACAAGACTGATGAACCTTTAGCCAGACTCATCAAGAAACAAAGAAAGAGGGCCTAAATAAATAAAATCATAAATGAAAGAGGTGAAGTAACAACTGACACCACAGAAATACAAAGGATTGTAAGAAAATACTATGAACAAGTATATGCCAACAAATTGGAAAACCTTGGCGAAATGGACAAATTCCAAGAATCATGCAATCTTCCAAAACTCAATCAGGAAGATTCAGAAAACCTGAATACACAAATAACAACCAATGAAATTGAAGCAGTAATAAAAACTCCCAGCAAACAAAAGTCTTGGTCCAATGACTTCACAGGTGAGTTTTACCAAACATTCAAAGAAGAATACCTATCCTCCTCAAACTATTCCAAAAAATCCAAGAGGAAGGAAAACTTTCAAGTTCTTTTTATGAGGCCAATATTATCCTAATTCTAAAACAAGATAAAGATACTACAAAGAAGGAAAGTTACAGTCCAGTATCCCTGATGAACACAGATGCTAAAATCCTCAACAAAATATTAGCAAATCGGATCAAAAAGATCAAACACCATGACCAAGTGGGAATTATTCCAGGGATGAAAGGCTGGTACAATATTCACAAATCAATAAATGTGATACATCACATAAAAAAAACTGAAAGATAATAATCACATGATCATATTAATAGACACAGAAAAAGCATTTGACAAAATCCTGTACCCATTTTTTATTTTTAGAAAGAGAGTAGAAGAGAGGGAAAGACAGAGAGAAATATCAATGTGAGAGAAACACATTGATTGGTTGCCTCCTGCATGCCCCTGACCAGGGCCTGGGCTAGAGAGGAGCCTGCAACCGGGGTCCATGCCCTTGACCAGAATCGAACCTGGGACCCTTTGGTCTGCAGGCTGAAACTCCATCTATTGAGCCAAACTGACTAGCGCCAGCACCCATTTTTGATAAAAATTCTCAGGAAAGGGGGGATAGAGGGAGCATACCTTAACATAATAAAGGTCATATATGACAAACCTACAACCACCGTCATACTCAATGGGCAAAAATTAAAACCATATTCCCTAAGAATAGGAACAAGACAGAAATTTCCCTTTTACCACTTTTGTTCAACATAGTACTGGAAGTCTTAGCCACAGTGACCAAATTTTCTAGAATACAGTGGGGGATTTGTTTTATGTTTACAAACCAGAATCAGATCAGTACAACCAAAGGAGCCATCAGGCTACAGGAGTCTTCCCAGCTCTAGCCCCTGTAGCTTTTAGAAAGTGTTGAATTTAGTTTTAAAAAGCACTGAAACTCAAGACTTAACAGTATCCTATATAATAAAGAGGGAATATGCAAATTGACCATCACTCCACCACAAAGACGACAGCGCCCACAGTGGAGTGGGGAAGGAAGGGCTCTGTAACACAAGATGGCTGCACCCACAGCAGAGGCTGAGTTCCCAAAACAAGCCTTAACAAGCAATCAGCAGGGACCTGAGGCTGCACTCCTCCCAAACCCTCCCCATGGGGCTTGACAGGGGACCTCAGGCTGCACCCCCCGCCCCAGCAGGGCTTAATAGGGGAACTCAGGCCATGCTCCCCACCCCAGCGCCAGGCCAGGGGACCTAAGGCTGTGCCCCCCACCTGCCGGGGCTTGACAGGGGAACTCAGGCCATGCCCCCCACCTGGCGGGGATTGATGGGGAACCTCAAAGTGCACCCCCCACCCCGGTGATGGGCTGGAGGACTTCAGGCCACACCTCCGGCCCAGCGGGGCTTGATGGGGGATCTCAGCCACATCTCCCACCTGGCGGGGCTTCACTGGGGACCTCAAGCATACCCCCCACCCCAGTGCCAGGCCAGGGGACCTGAGGCTGCAACCCTGCCCAGCGGAGCTTGACAGGGGTGGAACCAGCTGGGTCTGGATCTAGCCCAATGGGGGTGGGGCTGGCCAGGTCTGGGTCTTGAGCAATTTTGAGGCGCACATGGGTGGGCAGAGACTTGACTCTGGGTCCCGTGGTGTGCCCCAGACACTGACAGGAGGAAGATTTTCATATACATTTTACTAATTTCCTTTCATCTCTGATACTTCTATTATAGAGAAAGGGCAAATAGCAATATTAAAATATTTTCCCTAGTTAATCCCCTTTTTTTGTGCACTGGGCCACTAGTTATATTATAATCTTCAAACTGCTGAGAGACTAAATATTGATTATTCCCACCACAAAAAAAGAAATGATATGTGATGTGATAGAACATACACACATATGCATTGCCCATGGACATAGACAATAGGGCAATGAAGGCTTGGGGCAGGGTGGGAATCTGGTAGAGGGAGGCAATGGGGAAAAAGGGGAGACATCTGTAACACTATCAACAATAAAGATAAATTTTTAAAAAAGAAGGCCATGTGACAATGGAGGCAGAGATTGTAGTGGTGTAGCTATGAGCCAAGTAATGCCAAACAATCCCTAGAAGCTAGGAGAGAGTCATGGAACAGATTCTTCCTCAGAACCTCAAGAAGGAACCAATCCTGCTGACACCTTGATTTTGGACCTCTGGCCTACAAAATTGTGAGAGATAAATTTTAAGCCAAAGAGAGAGATAGAGAGGCAGACAAAGAAACCTACTGGGCCACATATATTAAAACTTCAACAAACATTGTAGAAATTAAAATGATAAATGCTTTATTACTTTAAAATAAATCAGGTCTCTAATCTTTTTCTGATAATTAACTGCTATGTTAATACTGAAACATGACTTCAACATAAATTTACAAATTTAGAGCATAAAAATGTATTTTACTAGTTGCTAAACTCTTGAAAAAATTGCTTCTTTTAGTCTATAAAATTTGCTTCCTTCTCATTAAGCTTTCATTTCTGACCCATAGTAGATTAAAAAACAACTTATACTTTAGCTTTCCTTTCTCCCATATTTCATGTAGTGGTTTTCCATTGCAAAAATTTTTAACATGACTCATGGTTGTTTTAGCAGAATATGAAAATGATATTTTAAATATTTAAAAAGAGAAAATGGTAAAGATTTTACTATAGTTAAGGTAGGATTAAAGACATTTTTCTTTTGTCAATAATAAAAAAATCTTTTTTAAAAACATCTTTTGAGGTGTTTTTGAGTAAAGTTTAAAGCAACAAATAATTGTAAACTAATCCACAAATTAAAATATAGCAATGCTGCCACTACTTCAGTATGATAATGTGTTTATACCAAAGCTTAGTCCTAGAAGCAATGGTTTAACCAGCTGAAATTTGTCTTTGTGGTTATCCTGCCTTTATATTTGGTTATTTTGTGATGCACTTCTCAGTCATCAAAATGAGGATGTCATTAGATCATGTTGGAAAATGTGGCCCTAAGCTAGGTGTGGGTCTAAACCAGTGGTTCTCAACCTTCTGGCCCTTTAAATACAGTTCCTCATGTTGTGACTCAACCATAAAATTATTTTCGTTGCTACTTCATAACTGTAATGTTGCTACTGTTATGAATCATAATGTAAATATCTGATATGTAGGATGGTCTTAGGCAACCCCTGTGAAAGGGTCGTTCAACCGCCAAAGGGGTCACAACCCACAGGTTGAGAACCGCTGGAACCAAATGAGCAGTGTCAGATGATGCCTATTCGGAAACTCATAGCCAGTACTTAGGAAAAGCTACCACTGATTTTAAAGCCAAATGATCTGATGCTTGGGAAACATACTGCTATTACAGCAAAAATTTAGCCCCAAAAGTTACAAAGACAATGTAGAAATATCACTAGTCCTATCTGGACATAAGACAAAAATTAAAGCTCTGATGGATGTGGATTATTGAAAAGAACTGTATCTAGGTTTTTGCTTCCTTAAATCTTTGCAGTGGGCTTTATGGATTTAATAAATAATTATTTTTGTTTCTCAAAGGAAATTTTTATTAAATGTATGGTTCTGTTTTCTGCCTCCATCAAATAGGAAGACCATTTGATACTCTTCCTAGAAGTTAAATTTGTAAATTTAAACATGCCAAATGACTTTAAAAAGGGGGGGGGGGGACATATAAAAGAAACAGACTAGCCTGACTGGTGTGGCTCAATGGTTGAGCTTCAACCCATGAACCAGGAGGTCATGGTTTGATTCCACGTCAGGGCACATGCCCGAGTTGCTGGCTCCATCCTCAGTAGAGGGCATGCAGGAGGCAGCCGATAGATGATTCTCTCTCATCATTGATGTTTCTATCTCTCTCTCCCTCTCAACTTCCTCTCTGAAATCAATAAAAACTAATTTTTAAAAAGGAAAAAGAAACAGACTAAGTTTAGAAGAACTTAAAAGAGATATTATTTAACACACTTGGTTTTATTTGTAGGTAAGTCAGTTATCTGGGGAAGAAAATCTGTTTACCAATATTCTGAGGCACCTGGATTTCTATGTTATGCCGGTAGTTAATGTGGATGGTTATGACTACTCTTGGAAAATGGTAGGTGAAGGCAAAGAAAAAACTTGCCCCCTTTGGGAATACATGATACTCTGAATTAATTATTTATAAAATCCTGGATCTTGGCACAATGGTTTCATTATGAAACAAAACAATTCTCATTACAGAAAAGATCAACCTTATGTGAGTGAAAATAATTTTATAGTACACTCCTATGTACCTGTCAGAGAGCTTCAGAAATAATCATCTTAAGCCGATCTATTTTCATCTATACACTCTTCTACCTTACTCATATTATTTTAAAGCAAATCTCAGGCATCATATCAATTCATCAATAAATATTTTAGTATGCATCTCTAAAAAAGCTCTTTAAAAAATAACCACAGTACAAATATATCTAAAAATTTAAAATAATTACTTGAAATAAAAGGTTCAATCAATATTTAAATTTTTAATTACATAATAACTTTTAAATAAGTTTCTTTGATTCAGGATCCAAAGAAGGCTAATATGCTGTGATTGACTCATATGTCTTTTAATTCTATTGTAATCCATAAATGTTCATGTTTTCACTCTTCCTTGCAATTTATTCATTGAACAAAAAAGTTTCCCATTGTCTGAATTTGCTAGTTGCATTTTGCCATGTTGCAATTTAACCTATTCCTCTGTCCCCTGTATTTTCTAAAAATTGATATTTGGATTCTGTAAGCTTAATCAGATTTAGAATTAACTTTTTTGGCAAGACTACTTCATTGTGATAGTGTGCTCTCAGATCAGGATGTGTATAACATCTAGTTGTGACTCTTTTTGAGATATTAGTTACCACTGATGCACAATGCCTAGATCCATTTATTCTTACTAGGAATCCTTTAAATAGCATTTTTTATTTGTAAAATCATAAATTGCAAGATTTAGAACAGAATTAATTGAACTTTTATTCTAACTTATATGTGAATTTAAACCTTAGTACACTTTAACTCAATCATGAGCATGAGTATCCTGATCAATCTCATCTCTATTGGGAACCATTATCAATAATTTTTCTAACCTATAAGTATCATGATTCATGTAAAATTACTCAAGCACTATGAAGTGCATTCCTTTCTAATTTAATGAGGGGCACATGAAACATAACTGAGCATATGTCAGTTAAGAGAAATCTACTTTAGTAGCACATGTAAACACTGCAGGGAATGAGAGAAGTGCAGGGGTTAGAAACATATGGGATTACACAGGAATAATCTCATGTTGGAGGTAATTTATGCAGAAGAGATCAGAATGGAGATTGGTGGGAAAATCAACTCAATTAAGAGGAATACCAAGAATAAAAGTTTGCAGGTGGGGGTGGGCAAATCCTAAACTAAATAAATGAGAAATACCTAGCATAGCACATAATACTAATTTAATGTTCAATAAGTGATCACATCTAGATGTTGACGTTATAATAAATGTATGCCTTCACCGGAATCACAGTGGAATTTAGCTACCCTTTAGATGTTTCCACTTTTCAGTTGTCCTTTGTGTCTGAACTCTGCCAAATAGTACTTCCTGCAGTTCAAGAACCTAATTTCTCCACAGAAAGTGTTGCTACCAAACCACAGGCCAAGGTTTGGAAGCAGAATGGGAGGCTTGGTAGAAGGGTTGGTGAGAGTAGGGGAAAACAGTGCCACATTACCCCAACCTTAGAACTAAAGGCTGTGCAACTATTTACATGATCAAATCTTCTAGTTTACCTCAGGAAAACAGTGGGGGATTTGCTTTATGTTTACAAACCAGAGTCAGATCAGTACAACCAAAGGAGCCATCAGGAGTCTTCCAGCTCTAGTTCCTGTAGCTTTTAGAAAATGTTGAATTCAGTTTCAAAAGCACTGAAACTCAAGACTCAACAGTACTGTATTATAATCTTCAAACTTGCTGAGATACTAAATATTGATTATTCCCACCACAAAAAAAGAAATGATACGTGATGTAATAGAGGTACTAACTATCCCTACAATGGTAATCATATCATAATATATAAATGTATCAAATCAACATGTTGTACACCTTAAATTTATGCAATGTTAGATGTCAAATATATTTTAATTTTTAAAAAAAGAAGGAACTCTCGCCTTTTGCAACAGCATGGATGGAACTGGAGAGCATTATGCTAAGTGAAATAAGCCAGTCAGAGAAAGATAAATACCTCATGATTTCACTCATTTGTGGAATATAGAGAACAACATAGACTGATGAACAGGGACAGATCCAAAGACAGAGAAACAGAGATCAGACTATTAATCCCCAGAGTTTCCGGAAAGTAGGGGAGGGAGGGGGCAAGGGAAGGGATCAACCAAAGGACTTGTATGCATGCATATAAGCCAAACCAATGGACATGGACAACAGGGGGATGAGAGCATGAGTGGCGGGGGGGGGGGGGGGGAGGTTGGGGTTTAATGAGGGGATGAGGACACATTTGTAATACCTTAACTAATAAAGAATTTAAAAAAAAAATAAAAGTCAAACTTGGTGCCATCCAAAAAAAAGAAAGAAAGAAAGAAACTCATGACTCATAGTTTTAATTTGAGTTGAAACACAGTTATTTTACTTTTCTTAGAAGGAACTCAACAATGCATAACATTACTTTAACGGAATAAGACTAAACAAAAAGGCCAATAAGCAGCCTAGCAAAACCAAATGACAATATTATTTCTCTAGGTCAAAATTAATCAAATATTATTATTTTGTTCGGTTTAAACTAAAATAGTTTGAGTTAATGTGATTGAGACCTAGATAGAAACAGGAGCTCTGCAAAAAGAATGCCGTGAAGAAAGTGACAGGATGAAGTGATGGGATTGCAGGAGAGAAATATAGCCTGGCCACTTAGGCATTAAAAATCATGTCTTGCCCAGCCAGCATGTCTCAGAGGTTGAGCGTGCACCTGTGAACCAGGAGGTTATGGTTCGGTTCCCACAACCCAGACATATACCCAGGTTTTGGGCTCAATTCCCAGTGTTGGGCATGCAGGAGGCAGCCAATCAATGATTCTCTCTCATTATTGATGTTTCTATCTCTCTCTCCTCCCTTCCTCTGAAATCAATAAAAATATATATATATTTTAAAAAGTCATGTCTTTCCTTAAACCACAAACATGGCCACACTGGTTATCTGTATCTTGTTTACTAGAATCGAATGTGGAGAAAGAACCGTTCTGATCATGAAAACAATCCTTGCACTGGAACAGATCTGAACAGGAACTTTGCATCCAAACACTGGTGTGGTAGGTTGTTTGTTTCATTTTAGGTAATGTTTCTTCATTAGAAACGTGATATTCATAAAGAAAGGTGCATTAATTCAAAGATAGCGGGTCTTTCTGAATCAGGAAATAATTTAAATAATAAACTTTTTAGTTAAGAGTGGTGCTGTGAATATTAACTAGAGTCAGCAAATTATCTTAACCCAGTAGTTCTCAACCTTCCTAATGCCACGACCCTTTAATACAGTTCCTCATGTTGTGGTGACCCTCAACCATAAAATTATTTTCGTTGCTACTTCATAATTGTAATTTTGCTACTGTTATGAATCGTAATGTAAATATCTGATATGCAGGATGTATTTTCATTGTTACAAATTGAACATAATTAAAGCATAGTGATTAATCACAAAACAATATGTAATTATATATGTGTTTTCCGATGGTCTTAGGCGACCCCTGTGAAAGGGTAGTTCGACCCCCACACAGGTTGAGAACCGCTGCCTTAACCTCTCCTTTGTGCTGTTTCCTCATCTGTAAAAGAAGGAAGTTAGACCAGTTCTTTAAGTCCCATCTAGCTTCAAAATTTTAAAATTCTATTTTTCTAGAATAATAAGGATGTGACTATTAAATTTCCTGTTTAATAAACAAATAATTTCATTCCTAGGATAGCAGAGACCAGGGTCAGGTGGGTATCTCTTATTTTTAATTGCATAGTTAAATATTTACCTCTATAGTGTTTGAAAGCATTTTCTTTTGTGTTAACTCTTCATTTTCTTAACATGTTCTTACTTTCATGAATATTATAAAGATAAACTTATGTCTAGCACAGTGGGAGTTTATCATTCCTTGATTTGGATGAGTTAAGGAACTCAGTGAATATTGATTTAGGCATCCAAGAATATTGTCTGTTCTCAGGGAAGTGGGTGTTAGTTCACCCTCCATACTCCCATTATATTTCATAACCACTACATTTAAGAAACAGTTACAAATTAAAACTACACAGATAGATGTCAGAGAAATGGCAGTATGAGAGATCCCCTTGGCCTCTCCCCCTGAAATTATAACAAGTTTACCAACTATAATTCAACAAAGAATTCCCTGCTCCATACAGAGGCATGCCTGAGAGATTCGCGCATTGAAAGATCTAAAGGTGGGCAACCAGGAATAAATGGGGATATGAGAAGGGAGGAAAGCACCGATGGCCCACAGATGCAACCCTGCAGCCGGACCTCAAGGCCCGGCCTGGAGAGAGGAGGAAAAGAGCAGTAGCAGGCACTTTCTTGGGCCAGGAGGAACAGAGAGCTGTAGGGGACAGTTCAGCAGGGCAAGCAGTGAGTGGATGGGACAGTGACTGAGCCAGCAGATGCCTGACAGAGCATGGGGTTCTGCCATGTGGCTCTCCACTGTCAGGCTACACAGTATTGTTTCAGACAAAAAAAACAGAACCACAGAACACTACTACCATTTGAGCTCTCAAAATTCACCTTCTGTTGCCCTTGGAGTCAGGTCGAGGAGCATATTATCTGTAAACCAAGAGCTATTGCAGTAAAACCACTGTTTCCCTCTGTAACTGATCTCCACATGGGGTGTTTGGGGTGGGACCCAATGGAGGTCAGGGGTCACCATTATCGTAGGGACAAAACAAACCCCACCCATAAGCAAGCAGCACAGCTGAACTGTCTTATGGAAGCCCTGGAGGTCAAAACTGGGAGACCACAGAGCTAAAAAAGTCTTGTAATTCAGCGCCATCTACTGGAAAAATCATAGAAGGACCTGTTCAGAGAAAGCTGCTATCAGCCATTAATATTCCTAGTCCTAGATAATAAAAGCCTAATATGCTAAGTGTCCAGTCAGCTGGTTGGCTGTTCAACCAATCAAAGCATAACATGCTAATGATATGATAAGGCTGCTCAACAGCTCACTACAATGTGCACTGACCACCAGGGGGCTACAGTCGACCAGTCAACCAGTCGCTTGACGTGCACTGACCACCAGGGGGCAGATGCTCAACTGGTAGGTTAGCTTGCTGCTGGGGTCCAGCCAATCGGGACTGAGCGAGATGGGTGAGACATGCCCTGGAGCCCTCCTGCGGTCTCTCTCTGTCTGGCCAATCTCCCACGTTCCTCCCCAGCACCGATCATGCACCAGTAGGGTCCCTCGGCCTGGCCTGTCCCCTCTCACAATCCAGGACCCCTCAGGGGAGGTCGGAGAGCTGGTTTTGGCCCGATCCAACAGGCCAGGCCGAGGGTCCCCACTGGTGCAAAATTCATGCACCGGGCCTCTAGTAGACAGATATAGATGTCTAAGCAAAGGAGAACAGCAAATACCATGAATAACCATGGTAACAAGGGTGATTAGCAAAAAAAAAAAGAAAAAGAAAAATCCCCAGAAAGCAGGCTGGAACACATAGAAATGTGATATAAATGATGGAGATTTCAACATTGCAGATTTGAAAATATTCAAGATGCAAGAAAATACCGACAAGCAATTCAATGCACTCAGAAAACAAATCAGTGGACAAAACAAGTACTTTACCAAAGAGATTGAAACTTTAAAAAAGAACCAATCAGAAATCTTAGAAACAAAGCATGCAATCAAGGAGATTAAGAGTGAACTACTGAGCCCTAGCTAGTTTGGTTCAGTGGATAGAGTGTTGGCCGGCAGACTGAAGGGCCCGGGTTTGATTCTGGTCAAGGGCACATGCCTGAGTTGCAGGCTTGATCCCCAGTAGGGGGCATACAGGAGGCAGCCAATCAATGATTCTGACTCATCATTGATGTTTCAATCTCTCTCTCCCTCTCCCTTCCTCTCTGAAATCAATAAAAATTTTTTTTTTTTTAAAGAGTAAATGACTGAGCATAGAAAACAGAGGCAATCAGATGGAGGAAAGAATTAGTGATAATGAAGATAGGAATCTATAAATGACACAGAGGAGAGAAGAGATAGTTGGGCATAAAGAAAAATGAAAGAGCTCAAGAATTATCTGATTCCATCAGAAAAAGCAATTGTAGAAGTATAGGCAGGGAACAGAGAATCTATTCAAACAAATAGTAGATGAGAACTCCCCAAAACTATGGAATGAATTAGATCCCAGGATCCAAGAAGCAAACAGAACACCTAGTTACCTCAATCTAAAGAGGCCTTCTCCAAGGCACTTTGTATTAAAACTATCAAAAATTAATCACAAAGAAAAAATTCTCAAAGCAGCCAGGGAAAGAAGGGAATGACTACAAAGGAAAACCCATCAGAATTTCATCTAACTTCTCAGCAGAAACACTATAAGCCACTATAAGAGAATGGAACCAAATATTCAGACATCAAAAAGAGATAAATTACCAGATACGAATAATATACCCAGCAAAATTATTCTTTAACCATGAAGGAGAAATAAAGTCACTCCAAGATATACAGAAGCTGAAGGATTTTATCACCAGAAAATCTCTATTGCAGGAAATACTCAAGGGAGTTATTCTACCTCAAACAAAGAAAATAAGGTCACAACACTACAAATAAGATCACCAAAATACTTACAGCATAAACAGGGATAATTTGTGACAACAAAAACATAAAAGGGGTGTGGGTAAAGATCTGAACTAGTAAAGGAAGATGAAACAGAATAGCCGTGTGGATCAAAAACAAAATCCAACCATACGCTGCCTACAAGAGACACCTCTAAGCTGCAAAGACAAAGGTAGATTCAAGCTAAAAGAATGTAAAATGATTCTACAAGCAAGTAACACCCACAAAAAAGCAGGTGTAATCATACTTATATCTGAGAAAATAGATTTCAAGGTAACAATAGACAAAGATGGACACCTTATAATGACAAAGGGGACTCTACATCAAGAAAACATAACACGCCCTAACCGGTTTTGCTCAGTGGATAGAGCGTCGGCCTGCGGACTGAAAGGTCCCAGGTTCGATTCCAGTCAAGGGCATGTACCTTGGTTGTGGGCACATCCCCAGTAGGGGGTGTGCAGGAGGCAGCTGATCGATGTTTCTCTCTCATCGATGTTTCTAACTCTCTATCCCTCTCCCTTCCTCTCTGTAAAAAATCAATAACATATATTAAAAAAATAAAAAAGAAAACATACCACTTCTTAATATATATACACTCAACCAGGGAGCACTGAAATATATAAAACAATTGCTCACAGAACTAAAGGAAGAAACAGATCAAAACGCAATCATAGTTGGAGACCTTAATACTCATTTGACAGCTCTAGACAGATCAATCAAACAGAAAATCAATAAAGAAATATCGGCCTAACTGAAACACTAGACCAGGGGTGGGCAAACTTTTTGACTCGAGGGCCACAATGGGTTCTTAAACTGGACTCAGAAGAAGGAGCTGCGGCCGTGTTTCCCGACGTTGCCATGTTAACACTGCTGCTGGTGAAGGAGCGGAGGGGAGTGCAAGAGAACCCTCCGCTCTTTTGGCTCCACGGGCCGGATAGAACAGCCGAACGGGCCGGATCCGGCCCACGGGCCGTAGTTTGCCCACAGCTGCACTAGACCAAATGGACATAATTGACATTTACAGAAACTTTCATCCCAAAACATCAGATTATACATTCTTCTCCAGTGCACATGGAACATTCTCAAGGATAGACCATATGTTAGGTCACAAAATTAGCATTAACAAATTCAAGAAAATTGAAATTATACCAACCACGATGCCTTGAAATTAGAAATCAACTGCAAAAAAGGAAATAAAAAAACACATATCCGTAAAGATTAAACAACACACTACTAAAAAATGACTGAGTCAAAGAAGAAATAAAAGATGAGATCAAAAGATATAGTGAGACAAATGAGAATGATAATACAACACATCAAAACTTCTGGGATGCAGTGAAAGCATTATATAATTATAGGCCTATTTCAAGAAACAAGCCCTAACCGGTTTGGCTCAGTGGATAGAGTGTCGGTCTGTGGACTCAAGGGTCCCAGGTTCGATTCCGGTCAAGGGCATGTACCTTATTTGCAGGCACATACCCAGTGGGGAGTGTGCAGGAGGCAGC